CAAGCCCCAGACCTTATCACATGAATGACTATGCATGATTTGTCGGAGTTAAAAAGCATATAAATAGAATATTGCATCACTATTAATTCACATCATCTCTAAACTTAACACAAAAGACCAGCCAACCACCTTTTCTGCAGAGCAAATTTTAAAAATATCTTTATTGATTTTTTAGCGAGTGAGGGAGACAGAAACATTGATTTGTTGTTCCACTTACTATTTTTTAAATGTTTTTATTGATTTCAGAGAGAAGGGGGGAGAGAGAGAAACATCAACATCAATCAGTTGACTCCTGCACGCACCCCAACCTGGGATAGAACCAGCAACCCAGGCAAGTGCCCTGACTGGGAATTGAACTGGCGACCTTTCAGTGCACAGGACGATGCCCAACCAACTGAGCCACACTGGCTAGAGCTATGTTACTTCCTTTGACTCAGCAATTCCTTTTATAGGAATTAGGCCCAAGGAAATGGCTGGACAAGTACAGAATGATATTACCACAAAGATGTTCATCCCTGCTCAACATTGTTTATCACAGTGAAGAATGGGAATCAACCTAAATACTGAGCATCTATAAAAATAACAATGTAGATGTGCATTTATTATCATAGAAAGAAAAAGAAAAAATGTACAAAAAATAAAAAAGAAAGCTGTATAGCCCTGGCTGGTGTGGCTCAGTGGATAGAGCGTTGGCCTTCAGACTAAAGGGTCCCTGGTTCGATTCTAGTCAAGGGCGCATGCCCAGGTTGTGGGCTCATCCCCAGTGTGGGGCGTGCAGGAGGCAGCCAATCAATGATTCTCATCATTGATGTTTCTATCTCCCTCTCCTTCCCTCTCTGAAATCAATAAAAATATATTTTAAAAAAGAAAGATGTATAGAGCATACTAGTATGAATGGACAGAAACAGGCTTCCAAACAAAGTTATAGTATGATCCTACTTTTGTAAATATATATTAATATGTAGAGGCATAGGAGAAAATCTAGAAAGATAAAAAGGCTTAATAGTAGTGATATTAGATGTAAATTTTTCTAATCTATTTGCATTTTTTAAAATTTTCTATGAGAATATGTGTTGGTTATACAATAAATGAATATACATGTTTATTTTACATGTTATTTTAAATATATTTTATTGATTTCAGAGAGGAAGGGAGAGGGAGAGATAGAAACATCAGTGATGAGAGAGAATCATTGATCGGCTGCCTCCTACACACCCCACATTGGGGATCAAGCCCGCAACCCAGGTATGTGCCCTGACTGGGAATTGAACCATGACCTCATAGTTCATAGGTTGATAACCACTGAACCATGCCAGCCAGGCCCATGTTATTGTCTAAAGGTTGCTGAATAACTCAGGGAAGAGCTGATCAGAGTCTGAACCGAGGGCAGGAGCAAGAGGGTAGAGGTATAGAAAGAAGGGGACCAATTTTTCTGATTGATAGGAAGCACTTGGACACCCATTGGATATATCCCGTGGAGAGCAAGGGTGGGAGGAGTTCAGTTTTAACTGACTCAGGGCTGCTCAGCCTGATGAGCAAGGAGGAAGGATTGTGGTGAAGGGAGAGGAGCATTTTCCCTTCCCTTGGCTTCTGGAAGGACTGTTTATCCCTCTTACACTACTTTAGCATCAGTGCTGTCACACTTTTGGCTATTTCTGTCTCCCCAGAGGACCGTAAGTAACCCTGACTGATTCACTCTGTTTGGATCCTCAGCAACGAATCTACAAGAACCCACTAGATGTGAACTGGTGGCACTGTCACACCCCCAGCTCATTCCATAACAATACTAGCATTCTGTGCGGGCTCATCTCATCTGCCAGGCACGGTACTAACAGCTTTCTGTGTATTAGATCATATAATCTTCATCATGACCCTATCAGGTAGAATTTGTTGATGGTGCCATTTAACAGATAAAGAAACTAAGTCAGGGGGCTCTTTCCTCCTCCCCACTTGGGAGTCTGTACTTGTTCTTCAATAAATCTCCACGTTTGCTATACCATCTTCAAAAAAAATAAAATAAATAAAAAGAAACTAAGTCACAGAGAGGTTAAAGTAAAATGCCATGGTCACACAACTAGTAAGTTGACACTCTTAATGTCTCTATAATCATGTGAAGTTTGCACAACTTCTGTGAATTCAGTGTGGCTGGAGCTTCCAATCCCATTTGATAGATGAGGAAAGTGAGACTCAGAGAGGTGATTTTTCCCAAGGTTACATGAGGGGAACAATGCTAAAAACGAAGTTGAAGTAAGGATAAGATATACACATGGCAACATGGATAAATCTTCAAAATAGCGCTGAATTGCCCGGCCGGCGTGGCTCAGTGGTTGAACATCGACCTATGAACCAGGAGATTGAGGTTTGATTCCTGGTCAGGGCACATGCCCGGGTTGCGGGCTCGATCCCCAGTGTGGGGTGTGCAGGAGACAGCTGATCAATGATTCTCTCTCATCATTGATGTTTCTGTCTCTCTCTTCCTCTCTGAAATCAATAAAAATATATTTTAAAAAATAGTGCTGAGCCCTGGTCAGTTTGGTTCAGTGGATAGAGCATCTGCCTGCAGACTGAAGGGTCCCAGGTTCGATTCCGGTCAAGGGCATGTACCTTGGTTGCGGGCACATCCCCAGTAGGGAGAGTGCAGGAGGCAGCTGATCGATATTTCTCTCTTATCGATGTTTCTCTCTATCTCTTTCTCTTCCTCTCTGTACAAAATCAATAAGATATATTGAAAAAAAATAGTGCTGAATGAAAAAATTCACAGAAATGTATTCATATATATATATTAGTATATATAAAACCATTTGTATAAATTTATACTGTATACTAGCCCTAGCTGGTGTGGCTCAGTTGGTTGGAGCATCATTCTGTACACCAAAAGGAGAATTTGATTCCCCATCAGGGCATTTACCCAGGTTGTGGGTTGGGGTGTGTGCAGGAAACAACTGATAGATGTTTCTCTCTCACATTGATGTTTCTCTCTTTCTCTCTCTAAAATAAATAATAATAAAATAAAAAATGTACTGTATTGTACACATATTTCAAAATTTATACAAATACAAAAATTACACATTAAACTCATTAGAGTGAAGAGGGGAAAGGATTGAGCTATAGGCTGTATTAATCTGCTCAGGCTGCCATAACAGAATGCCACAATCTTAAATAGACATTTACTTTCTCATAGTTCTAGAGATTGGAAGTCCAAATTCAAGGTGCCAGCAGGGTTGGTTTCTGGTGAGGCCTCTCTCCAGAGGCTGTAGATTGCTGTCTTCTCACTGGTCCTTACATGGTCTTTCCTCTCTGCAGAGAGAGAGCAGTGGTATCTCTTCTTATGACCCCAGACCTACCAGATCAGGGCCCCACACTTATGACCTCATTTCACCTTGATTACCTCCTTAGAGGCCCTATCTCCAATACAGTCACATTGGGGTTAGGGTTCCCACACATGAATTTTTGAGAAACACAAGTCAGTCCATAACATGGGCTAAAAGGGACATAATAAAACCACAAGAAGTGGAGAAAGAAAATGGACAGGATCCAGATCAAGCAGGCCCTTACAAGGCATAATAAGGAGACTAGCTTTTTTATTTTTTCATTGATTTCAGAGAGAGGGAGAGAGAAAGAGAGAGAGAGAGAGAGAGAGAGAGAGAGAGTGAAAATATCAATGATCAGTGATGGTGATGGATCCAGCCAGCAACCAGGCATATGCCTGGACTGGGAATCAAACCATGACCTCCTGGTTTTTAGGTCGACGCTCAACCACTGAGCCATGCCGGCTGGGCTAGCTTTTCTTTTTTTTTTTTTTTTTAATGCTTGCTTTTTTATTGTTGTTGTTAATCCTCACCTGAGGATATTTTCCCATTGCTTTTTCAGAGAAAATAGAAGGGAAGGAGGGATGGGGAGAGAGCGAAACATCGATGTGAGAGAGACCATGGACTGGCTACCTCCCCAACTCAACCTGTCCAGGGGGTGGGGAGCCCAAGTACGTGCCTGCCCTTGACTGGGAATCAAACCTGCGATCCTTCAGTGTGCAGGCCCGAATCTACAAAAACCCACTTTGCCACACTGGCCAAGGCAAGGAGACTAGCTTTAAAGGCTCAGAGAGGCCCTGGTCTGTGTGGCTTGGTTGGTTGAGCATCGTCCTGTGCACTTAAAGGTTGCTGGTTCTGAAAGATCAGTTGGAGGCCGAAAAAACAGGTGACATAGGCTTTATTAGAGGAAAGACCTGCCGGGCTGTCTCGCAAAGGGAGAGCAGCAGCTCGTGCAGTGATAAGAACTCTTATTTAAGGAGAATGAGGAAGGCAGGAGGGCTTGGGGTACTTGGCGAGAGCTGGTTGGTTAGTCAATGTATATGTCCATACAAGGTGCTCCTTCTGGGTTGGGGCCACATCACATTTACAGTAAGTCATCGCCATTCCAGGGACAGGTGGGTTTAGTAATCACATTCCAGGGAAAGGCGAGTCTATCAGGTTCAATTCCAGGTCAGGGCACATGCCTGAGTTACCGGTTTCTGGCTTGATAGGGGGAGAAGGGGTTGTGCAGGAGGCAATTGATCAATGTTTCACATGGATGTTTCACTCTCTCTCTCTCCATTCCTCTCACTCTAAAAGTCTTTTAAAAAATAAAACTCAAGAAAAAAATCTTTAAAAAAAAGACTCAGAACCCTACCTGGTTTGGCTCAGTGGATAGAGCATAGGCCTGTGGGCTGAAGAGTCCTGAGTTCAATTTTGATCAAGGGCATATGCCTGGGTTGCTGGCTCAAGCCCCAGTAGGGGGCGTGCAGGAGGTAGCCAATGATTCTCATCATTGATGTTTCTATCTCCCTCTCCCTTCCCCTCTGAAATCAATAAAGATATATCTTAAAAATAAATAAATAAATAAAATTTTTAAAAAAAGGCTCAGAGAAGTCACTCAGTTCATAAATGCTAAGGTCAATTGATATATAACTGATTGGCTCCAAAGTTCATGTAATCTGAAACCATTGAGTCCTGATAAAGTGGAAATGCGTGTATTTCATTTACATTAGGAAAACGGAGTGCAGAGAGGCCAAATGACTTGCCTAGGGCCGCAAAGAAGAAGTTCTTTCTGAGTTTTATTGGCACTTTCTTTGTGCCAGTCCTTGTGTAGGACACGGAGGACATAGAAATTAGAGAAACATGGTCCCTGCACTTAGAAAGCCCAGCCATGCATAGAAGAGACATCCAGGTAAGCAAATGTGGTCATTGGAGGGGCCTGTTACAGGTGCTGGGAAGTCCAGAGGAGGGAAAATGACTCTGCCCAGGATCAGTTGAGGAAGATTTCAGAGGAGGAAGAGCCCTTTTAATCAAATCCTTGAAGGATGAAGAGTTCACCTGATGCAAAAAAGGGAAAGCTCGGTATGGGCAGGGTCAAGGATGGGGCCCTTGCGAAGGGAGAGCGAGCAAAGGCGTGATGAGGCCAGATGGGGAAGGCTTTGCTGCCGGGTCAGAAATCGGACTTGGTTCTGAGCTCGCTGGGGAACCCTGGAAGAGTTTCAAGCAGGGGATGCCTTGGCCAGGATTCTAAGGAAGGTCTCTCTGGCGGTTGTCCAATGGCCTGTACTCTTTTAAAGAATCCATTGCATTTAAAGAAAAAAAATCCATTGTATGAGCTGGTGAGAAAAAATGATGGCCCCTCCCACCTCCAGTCCTTTTATGGGTTTTATCACTTAGACTGAGGATTTTTTTTTTTTTAAACCATCGCTGTCAAAGCCTTCATCTCACTGCTAGACAGACCAACCTGCTTCCTTCCTCTCCGCCTCCACTCCACCTCCCACCAGGGTGATGCACCAGACAATGGCACTTGGGAGAAAGGTGTGCAAAGGACAGAGGGGTTCGAGCTTCCCGTAGGGGTGATGGGCAGAGGGATCCAGATGGTGAGGACCCCAGGTGTTCTTGGTCTTGGCTTTCCCCACCTCTCGGGGCCAGTTAAGCATCTCAGCTTCCTACATTGCCCGCCCCCTTGTTTGCTGCACTCAACTTCCTGCCTCACCAGAGGAAGTGGGGAGAGACAGCAGGTACAGCAACAGCGACGGGGGCCATGGTGAGTCCTTATGCCTAAGAATCCAGGTCCCCAGGCCCCAACCACAAGGGCAGCCAGGCCCAGGTCAACCCTCAGCAGGCTGACTTCTAGCCCTTGAGATCAGGTTATTCTGGGGGCCCTGTCTGCTGCTCCCACAGCCTTATATTGTCTGCCCCCCGCCAACAGGACAAGGAGTATGTGGGTTTCTCAGCCCTTCCCAACCAGCTGCACCGCAAGTCCATCAAGAAGGGGTTTGACTTCACACTCATGGTGGCAGGTCTGGGGGTTTTGGAGGCGGTGGGTCCTCAAGAGACCCTGGCTGTCCTCTGACCTGACCAACGGGGCCTGTCCTGTCCACAGGGGAGTCAGGCCTGGGGAAATCCACCCTCATCAACAGCCTGTTTCTCACCAACCTCTATGAGGATCGGCAACTGCCAGAGGCCAGCGGTAAGACCCTCCCCATCCTCTCCAGGCACTCTACCCCCTCCTATCTCCCCAGGCTACACTATCTTCCTTTCTATCTGCGCTACCATGACTTTCTGGGGGACTCGGGCAGCTTATGGCTTCTTCCCCTAAAAAAAATAGGTGGGGGCAATTGTGATACTGAGAAAGGAAACTAGTCCTGCCTCAGACCCCTACCCAGTTCCCTGATCTCTTCCCGTACCCATAGCTCGCTTGACACAAACGCTGACTATTGAGCGTCGGGGCGTGGAGATCGAGGAGGGGGGTATTAAGGTGAAGCTGACGTTGGTGGACACTCCTGGCTTTGGGGACTCAGTGGATTGCTCAGACTGGTGAGGAGCGGGGGAGGGAATGAGGGATAGTCTCCCAATAGGGCTGGCTACTTGGTGGAAACTGAGGGGTCAGTGACAGGGCTGGTCTGCCCTGGCCTCCCACCCACCCTGACTGAAAGGTGGGGGGCATTTCTGGTGGCTGTGTGCCCCAAAGTGCCCTGTGCTTCCCGACATCTCACTTATGAGCCTGCCAGTTTCCTGATTTCTTTGGTTGGAGACAAAGAAACTACTTCCCACCCCCATAGTCCTGGCGAGTCTTGCCCCCTTCCCTGCCATGTGACCCCTGATCTCCCACCACATGCTCTCTCCCCTCCCACATCCCAGCTGGCTGCCCGTGGTGCGCTTCATTGAGGAGCAATTTGAGCAGTATCTTAGGGATGAGAGTGGCCTGAACCGGAAGAACATCCAGGATTCCCGTGTCCACTGCTGCCTCTACTTCATCTCACCCTTTGGCCGGGGGTCTGAGGGCCGCCCTGGGGGTTGGGCATTCGGGGAGGCTGGGGAGGTGACTCTATATCCTGAGACCAAGCCCTGGCCAATCCTGGGTGCAGGCTCCGGCCCCTGGATGTGGCCTTCCTCCGGGCGGTGCACGAGAAGGTCAACATCGTCCCCGTCATTGGCAAAGCAGATGCCCTGATGCCCAGCGAAACCCAGGCTCTCAAGCAGAAGGTGGGTGTGGTGACTTCTGACCTTTGGTCCCACATGAAGCCAAAAGTCATGATCAAACCTGAACTCAGCCTTTTTTTAAAAAATATATTTTATTGATTTTTTACAGAGAGGAAGGGAGAGGGATACAGTTAGAAACATCGCTCTGAGAGAGAAACATCTATCAGCTGCCTCCTGCACACCTCCCATTGGGGATGTGCCAGCACATGCCCTTGACCGGAATCGAACCTGGGACCCTTCGGTCCACAGGCTGATGCTCTATCCACTGAGCCAAACCGGTTACGGCCTGAACTCAGCTTTAACTCCTTTGATCTTGGGGTAGACTTCTTGGAGCATGATGTGTAATGCTATTAGAGAGTTTCTGCAGAAGGTAGGTAGTGAGCCGCCTGAAAGAGCCGTGTCTCTGGAAGCTCAGAATGGAACCCCTGGGCTGGATGCCTAGCCTGTCTGAGGGTAGGAACATAGACGTGATGACCCCTGATGGCCCCCACCCTCCAGTGTCTTCAGAGCCCGCGCCCACTGTTTCTGCTTCTATGTCTCTTTCTGGGTATTTTGGAATCTGCCTCATCTTAGAATCTTTCCAGGACTCTGCCTTGGCTGTTAGGGTGTCTTTGTCCCAGTCTTTTCACCCTATGACTGTCCCATTATCTCTGAGATTTTTATGTTCATTTCTTTTATTTGTTTTTTGTTAATCCTCACCCAAGGATATTTTTCCCATTGATTTTTAATTTTTTTATTAAATTCAGTGTGATACCCCTCCCTTGTGTGAGATTTGTGTTTTTTAAAAATATATATATATTTTTATTGATTTCAGAGAGGAAGGAAGAGGGAGAGATAGAAACATCAATGATGAGAGAGAATCATTGATTGGCTGCCTCCTGCAAGCCCCCCACTGGGGATTGAGCCCACAACCTGGACACATGCCCTTCACCGGAATCGAATCTGGGACCCTTCAGTTTGCAGGTCGACACTCTATCCCAGCCGTGGGCAAACTATGGCTCACGGGCCGGATCCGGCCCGTTTGAAATGAATAAAACTAAAAAAAAAAAAAAGACTGTACCCTTTTATGTAATGATGTTTACTTTGAATTTATATTAGTTCACACAAACACTCCATCCATGCTTTTGTTCCGGCCCTCCGGTCCAGTTTAAGAACCCATTGTGGCCCTCGAGTCAAAGTTTGCCCACCCCTGCTCTATCCACTGAGCCAAACTGGCTAGGGCTCCATTGATTTTTAGAGAGTGGAAGAAACAGGAAGAGAAAGAGAGAGAGAAAGATGGATGTGAAAGAGACACATCAATTGGTTGCCTCCCACACAGGGCTGGGGATTGAGCCTGTAACTGAGGTACGTGCCCTTGACCGGAACTGAACCTGGGACCCTTCAGTCCGAGGACTAGCACTCTATCCACTGAGCCAAACTGGCTAGAGCTTTTTTCTTTTTTATTGATTTTAGGGAGAGAAGAGAGAGGGAGAGATACATTGACATAAGAAACATGACTTGCCTCCTCCACACACCCTGACCAGGGACAGAACCTGAAACCTGGGCATGTGCCCTGACCGGGAATCAAACCTTCAACCTTTCAGTGCCCAGGATGATGCTCAACCAACTGAGCCACACAGCCCAGGGCTGCACTTTCAGTTCATTTCTCACCATCTGTCTTTCCTGTCTTGACCACCCAGTGTCTGTATCTGAGCACTTTTTATTTTTTTGGTTAATCCTCACTTGAGGATATTTTTCCATTGACTTTTAGAGAGAGTGGGAGGGGGAGAGACAGAGAAACATTGATTGGTTGCCTCCTGCACGTGCCCCAACCAGGGCCAGGGATCAAACCTGCAACCTAGGTATGTGCCCTTGACTGGAATCCAACCCAGGACCATTCAGTCCACAGGCTGATGCTCTATCCACTGAGCCAAACCGGCTAGGGCAAGTGTCAGTATCTGAATCTGCCTCGGCCATGCAATGTCTGTTGTTCACAGCCTCTGTGATTCTCACTGTCTCTGCATCTGTTTCCTCTGAGATCCGGGACCAGTTGAAGGAGGAGGAAATCAACATCTACCAGTTCCCCGATTGTGACTCAGATGAGGATGAAGACTTCAAGAGGCAGGATGCCGAGATGAAGGTGCAGAGGCAAGGGAGGAAGGGGCCGAGAAGCAGGGGAGGCAGAGGTGGAGGTGGAAGCTGAGGAAGGAGTTTCTGCCCTTGAGTGGTGATCCCTGATTCCCGCCCTCTAGGAAAGCATCCCTTTCGCAGTTGTCGGTTCATGCGAGGTAGTGAGGGACAAAGGCACCCGACCAGTGAGGGGACGCCGCTACTCCTGGGGAACCGTGGAGGGTGAGTAAGGCTGGCCGTGCATTCCGAGGCCAGCAGGCCCAGGCCACCCCCAAGTCAACCGCACCCAACATGTGATGGCGGGTGAGCTCTGGTCTGGGAGGTCCTAGGAGCCAGATGAGAGGTCTTTGAGCTGCAGAGGTGGACCCTCCCCAGGAGCGGGGTGGGATTTCGGGCAGACCTTACCCAGAGGGTGGGCCCGGACCGGAAGCTTCCTGATGCGCACGGTCGGTCCCCCAGTGGAGAACCCACATCACTGCGATTTCCTGAACCTGCGACGGATGCTGGTGCAGACACACCTGCAGGACCTGAAGGAGGTGACACACGATCTGCTCTATGAGGGCTACCGGGCCCGCTGTCTACAGAGCCTGGCCCGGCCTGGGGCTCGCGATCGGGCCAGCCGCAGGTGAGAGCGGAGTGGACTCACAGGTGCTTCCAGGCCTCGCCCTCACCACATCCATGACCCCGCCTTGACCCCGCCTTGACCATCCAAATCTTTTTCCCCAAGTCTTTCCCCACCCAGCTAGCTTCCGGCCCTAACCTCAAGGACAAGAGCCCACCTCCCAGAGGCCAACCCCCTTCCAGGCCCCGCCTCGGGGTCGTGACCCACACAACCAAGGTCCCGCCCTTGATTCCTATTCCTTTTCCTCCCCCTAGTAAGCTTTCCCGCCGGAGCACCGCGGAGATCCCGCTGCCCATGCTGCCCCTGGCCGAGACGGAGAAGCTGATCCGAGAGAAAGACGAAGAGGTGAGCCAGCACCCCCCGCTCCCCCCACTGACCAAAGCCCCAGTCCTCTCCGAAAAAGCCGCCCTCCGGCCACGCCTGGCCCCACCGCCTGCGATCTTGCCCCACAGCTGCGTCGCATGCAGGAGATGCTGGAGAAGATGCAGGCGCAGGTGCAGCAGAGCCAGGCTCAGGGCGAGCAGTCGGCCGCTCTCTGAGGACCCCCGCCCGGTGCCGCTTTACATCAGCTCCGCCTTCGTCCGCCTCTTGTCCAACCCCCGAGCCCCGGCGGCCCAGCGCCTCACCCCGGAGCCTGTTGGCACTGGGCTCTGGGCCAACAGGTTCTCCCAACCCCAGAGCTGGGGGTCCTGCCTTTGGCCCCGCCCCGCCCCGCCCCTCCCGGAGCCGGGGCTTCCAGCCCAGCCCCTCTAAACCCCAACAGTGTCTTCGATAAAAACTAAGTTTCCTGCCCTGACCAGTGTGGCTCAGCGGGTTGACCGCTGTCCCGTGCACCGAAAGGTCACCGGTCGGACTCCGGTCAGGGCACAAGGCCAGATTGCCGTCCCGGTCATTCCCGGCCCCGGCCGGGGTGCATTCGGGAGGCAACTGCAACCGATCGATGTTCCCTGTTTCTCTCTCGCATCGATGTTCCTCAAATAGATGTCGTTTTCTCTCTAAGATCAATTAAAAAATTAAAAACAAAACTAAGTTTCCTGAGGCCACGCGTCTTCGCTTTCCCTGCGGGAATAGCGGCGAGCTCAGCGGGCCCGGCCTTCATTCATGGGTCGGGCGCTCCAGTCCACTCTCCCCCGGCGCCCCCACAATCACACGCTGGGGGCCGCGGGTAAGAAACAAAGACCAGCTCAATTTTATTAGGACTGGGGTGGGGGTCAGGCTGTCCCGAAGGGCCCTCTACTCCTGGTCCTTGGCGTCGCCGTGCGTGATGACGTAGCAGATGTTCTTGTAGTCTACCATGCCGGTCACGTCGGGAGGGAAGGCCGCCCACATGTTCTTGATCTGGGGAAAGACGGCCAGATCGCGTTTCCTGCGGGTTCCTGGGGCGCCCGTGCCCCACCCCTCTGCCTTTCCCAGGCCCCTACCCCACTCACCTCTTCCGGGGAGAAGCGGTCACATTGGGTGGTAAGCAGCTCCTCCAAACTGGAGAGAGGTGACACAAGGGGAGTTGAGATGGGGCCTTGTAAATTCTTCCCACTCCCACCTCATCCTTGTTGCTATTCCCAGTTTCTCCTGAAAACCAGGGTCACTCTGGATCCTTCCAGTGATCTCACAAACACAAACACGAAAGGCTTTTGCCCTTCTCCCCACATGTGATGGGCAAATTTAATCCTAATCACAGTCTTCATTTCTCCCATATCCCTGGCAACGCCTAACCCTTGGCAGGAACTTAAGGAGGCTTTCTGTGGGTGAACAGCTGGAGGGGTCACTTACAACTGCTTCTTGATAACACCCTTCCCTTCAGGGTCCAGGACCTTGAAGGCTCCAGTGATCACGTCCTCGGGGTCGGCACCTGGAGTAAGAGGGCACACGGGTCCCTGAAGGGTCTGTCTCTGAAAGATCTGGGAAGGGGCAGCTGGGAGCTTGGACCCAGGACGCTTCATTCACCTTTGAGCTTCTCTCCGAACATAGTCAGGAAGACGGTGAAGTTGATGGGGCCGCTGGCTTCCTTCATCATTTCATCTAGCTCCTCATTCTTCACATTGAGGCGCCCTGGAATGGGGCAGGGGAAGCATGGGCTGGAGTGGGGTCCTGGGACCAGAGGGTGATTCTTCTCATAAATTCAGATCATCCCCCCCATTTTTCATCTGGGTAGACTGAGGTGGAGTCAGCAGGGCTGGCCCCCAAGGCTGCTGAATTCCCAGGACTCTACAGCCTTGGACCTTTAAGGGGATTGGGTGGGGGGCTCACCCATGGCTGCAAAGGTGTCCCGCAGGTCTTCCTTGTCAATAATGCCATCACGGTTCTGGTCAATTACTGTGAAGGCCTGTGGAGGGCAAGGGCAGGGAGGGGTTAGGTCCCCCATGGCCAGGCTTTAGCATCCTTACTCCAGGCAGATCAGATTGTGGCCCCCAGCCAGCTGTCCTCTTTCATGCCAAGAAGGGAGGGGAGCAAGGAATTCTAAACCCTTCCCCTCCCACTAAAACAGGTGCACATTCCGGGGTGGGAGGGTGGGGGAGGGCAGCAAGGGTGCCTTTGGTCAGCCTTCAGTCTCCCTTCCCTTCACTCACCTCCTTGAACTCCTGGATCTGAGTCTGGTCGAACATTGAGAAGACATTGGAGCTTCCACCCTCTGCTGCTGCCCTTCTCTTGGCCTTCTTGGGTGCCTGGGGGGTGAGGGTTGGGCAAAGACATCCATGGGCCAGATCCTACTATTCTCTGGAGGCAATGGAATAGACTCCGGGTTCTTTGCGTCCATTCTTGTAAAGCAACTCATCTGGCTCTAGGCTTCCTCCTCTTTGTGACTGCTTTGCTGTGGGTGCTTGTTTCAGTTGCGTCCCCAAATTCCTATCTGTAGCCCTTGAGTCCCATCCCTCCATCCTACCCAAGTGGAAGTTTCCTCTTCTTAGTGTCCTGAACCTGCCTCCTCTGAGTCCCAGACTTCCTGTGTGACCCTGATCCACTCATTCATTCTGTATGAACCTCTACTTTCTCATTTATAAAATGGGAGTGGGGAAGGTGGGGAGGCAGAAGGGATCAATGGGGGGGAAAGGGGGACATTAATAATACTTTCAACAATAAAGATTTTAAAAAAACATGGGAGTGGGAATCCTTGCCAGCTTGGCCCCAGAGGGTTTTAGGAAGATGGAGAGCAGGACAGTATGGAGCATGCTTTGAGAGGGATTGGGCTCCAGTGAATGGAGTATCTGAGTGGATTACCCTATGCACCCCATTAGTGATACTAAGAAAAGAAGGACTCATCTTTCTTCCTCTTGATGGACTGGGAACCAGCTACCTTCTTTCAAAGGGCGAGGCTGCTCTGAGGTCTGAGGGATCTGGACAGGGGCTGGGGGATTCTTACCATGTCTTCAGTTTCCTGGGGGCAAGGCTGGAAAGTAGCAGAGAGCAAGCTTGCCGCAGTCTCTCTGGGGTTATATAGTCTTGCCCCAGGGAGCCCTTAACATACCAGGGTAACCTTAGCCCTGCGGGTGCCCACCCCAGATACCAAAATAGCCTGGCTCAGGGCCTTTCCTTTCTTGGAGGGCCTGCAGCAGCTGGAGTCCAGGGAGAGAGGGAGGAGGGAATGAGTCTTGGGATGCATGTCTCACTAGAACCTGGGCAGGAAGGGTTGTTCTTTCTTTCAAAAGGGAGTTAGAATGTGGCAGAGTTCAAAGAAGGCCCAAGCCGGGCCACAGCGCTTAGAGAGAGATGAACCACATCCCTGTACCCCTGAGTGGGGTGTGCCTAGATTTAAACCCAGTCAATTTATTGAGCACCTATAGTGTGCCAGGTGTTGTGCTGTGCCTTATGGGTGCACTTTGACAAACACAACCCACTCCCATCTGGAGTTCACAGTCAAGTGAGAGTATGTGTAGGGGTAGTGGCAGAGTTTAGAGGTGGGAGAGAGCCATCTGGGGAATCTGAAGGACCAGGAAAGTCTTCTACATTCCCTTCATGGAGAAGAAGGATTTTTTTAAAAAGTAAATTCACTGTTTTATTTATTTATTTTTATTTTTAAAAAATATATTTTATTGATTTTTTACAGAGAGGAAGGGAGAGGGATAGAGAGTTAGAAACATTGATGAGAGAGAAACATCAATCATCTGCCTCCTGCACACTCCCTACTGGGGATGTGCCCGCAACCAAGGTACATGCCCTTGACCAGAATCGAACCTGGGACCCTTCAGTCCACAGGCCGACGCTCTATCCACTGAGCCAAACCGGTCAGGGCAGAGAAGGAGGATTTTGTGAGGAATGATATAGAACGTGGAATCACTAGGTATGAAGAGACTAGACAGCCTAGGGCAGAGAGACTGCTCTGTCATCTTGGGCTTTGTGCTTCAACTCCCTGGGCCTTGGTTTTCCCTTCTGTAAAATGGAATTTAACTCTCATCCCACAGAACTTGTGGATGTGAACACTATTTGGAAACAGTTTAGTGAAATGTAATCATATTATTACTTAGGCCCTGCCTTAGTAGAACTTACAGTCCAGTCATGAAGACAGGATAAATGCAGAGCAGCCCTGTCTAGGAGCATAAAGATGAGTTTATGAAGATCAGTAGAGGTGAGTCAGGTGAACATGGAGGAGCAGGTGTGCCAAGCAGAGGGCATGGGTGGGCAAAGGCCTGAAGAAGCGAAAGATCAGAAGTGTTCAGGTTGCCAGAATGGTGATGGGGCATGAACGGAGGGGCTAGAAACCTCTGATACTGGAACTGGAGGGCCTTCAATGCCAGGCTGGGAGCTGAGACCTTGGGAGCCTTGAAAAGGTTTGAAACAGGAGAAGGACATAGTCTAGTGCAGTGATGGCGAACCTTTTGAGCTCGGCGTGTCAGCATTTTGAAAAACCCTAACTTAACTCTGGTGCCGTGTCACATATAGAAATTTTTTGATATTGCAACCATAGTAAAACAAAGATTTATATTTTTGATATTTATTTTATATATTTAAATGCCATTTAACAAAGAAAAATCGGCCAAAAAAATGAGTTTGTGTGTCAGCTCTGACACGCGTGTCATAGGTTCGCCATCAGTGCTCTAGTGTGAGTCTACAACCATTTCTTTGGATTCTAGTTTGAAAGTTAGAACTCAGAGGAAGGGAGTCAGAGACACGAAGAGAGAAATTAGTTGGTCACCTCTTCTTAGTTGACTAGAATGGTCAGTGGCTTCTCAATCCATTCTGGCCAAAACCCAGCGTGGCTGACTGTGTGACTTTGAGGTATTCTCTCCCACCCCTCTAGGCCTCGGTGTCCCGTCCCCCCCATACAGTGGAGGTCTGGGGCAGTATTGGCTGAGGAAGCTCCAGGAGGCCCCAGGTTGGCAATGACACCTCCTCTCTTGCTCCTCTAGGACCCAATGTCCTGAGCAAGGTGCCTCCTTCCTTTCCCTCCTCCAGCCTCATGCCAAATGCCTCTAAGACATTTTCTTTTCTGGGCACTGGGGCCCAGCCACCTGTTGTCTCTAAGAAGAGAGAAGAAACCACCCTAAACTTAGCAGCTGCTCTTGGCCTCCTGAACTGGCCCCTCCCTGCCTCGTTTGACAGCTGCCTCACCTTATAAGGTTACTATGGGGGTCCAGGCCAAAGGGAAACCCACTTATTACTGGGTTCTGGGAGGGGAGGAGAACTCCAAAGACAGGAATGGGGGAAGCTTGGGCCAACTGGAAAGTGGGGAAGTTGAGAAGGAGATCAGGAGCAATATATTTCAGACACGGAATGGGAGGGAGTTCCGGAACTCAGAAACCCAGGAGGAACAGGGGCGTTAGGCCTGACTGAAGTTTCAAGATGATGGACTCTATGGAAATCAGCATATAAGCCGGGAGCTCAGGGTAATGAGGGTCAGAGGGAGAAAAGGCGCAGAAAGTCAGGACTTTGTGTTTGCGTCTAGGATAGGCTGGGGCGCTCATAAGATTGGGGTCTGGTTTCTTAGCAGAAAATGAGCACAGAGAAGTGTGGCAACGAGGGGATAGTGGTTGACTGAAGGGTTTTGAATTACCGAAAGAATAAGAACACAGATGTAAGTTTCATGGTACTGGGAATTCATGGTTTGGGGTCTGGGATCCCCACTAGAATCGGGCAAATTGAAAGGATGAGGTGTGAGGACTTGGGGCTTGGGATTCCCACAGGAAATGGCGGATTCAGAGAAATTGGCCACTGGAGGTTTGGGCTATAGTCTCCTGGGCTTGAAGTGTAGGAATTGGTTGGGAGCCGGGGTGAGACTCAGACAGAGAGGAGGTGGAGAGCGCTGGATCGGGGCACTGGATCTGTGTCAGAGCTCAGGGCCTCACCTGCCACCAGGGTGGGGGAGAGCGAGGGGAGATCGGTAGCTGGCTGGAGAATGGGGGCCCAGAAAGGACTCGGGCAGGGCAGCACGGCATTCTGATTGGCTAAGGGTTTCGCTAATGCCCCCGGCCCCCGTCTCTACTCCGCGCTGTCCCCAACTGTCACCTCCCTCCGGCGCTAGTCTCTGGCTGTCCCCGATATCCCTGGGCTGGCACCGCCCGCTGGCAGCACCCCTCCCCTTTGGCCTGTGGCTAAAGTGAGAGAATGCGCTCATTGGCTGACGAGGCAAATTAATTGCAAATTTGGCCCGCCCCCCAGCTGTCATTCCTTCTGACCTTCTTGGGAGACGTAAAGAATATCGCAGCTCTTCCTATTGACTGCGGATGCTGTCTGTCACCGCCCAAATAGATGTGACTGTCTGTCAATTTGACCTCCGCCTATTCCTTTTCATTGGCTGCCTTTTTATCGTTTATATTAGCCAGGCCCGCCTCTTCTCGCACAGTACCCGCCTCCTTCCGCGGTCATTCACTCTCCCGCCATTTTTATTGGCCAGGAGGTTCAGCTTCCTGATTTTCTATTAGTTGCTCCTTTCGTCCCGCCTCCCCCTACCTTCACCCGCCCTCCCATTGGTCTTATACCTTTTCTCCATTTCCTCTTCCCACCTCCAACCTCACCCACCCGTACAACGATTGGCAGAAACCCAGTTCCCTTTCTCCTATTATTCGCCCAAGCCCTCTAACGAGGCGGGAACAAAAAGAAGCGCGATGGGACGGCCCGCGCGCAGGCGTGAAACGCCGCGACGCTGGCCGCTCAGCCGGCACCCGGTCGTGTGCGCAGGCGCGAGGTCGGTTGCTCGCCCAAAGCAGGAGGGAGGGGGCGGCGGCGAGAGAGCGGTAGGGGTGAGAGGGCGCGAGAGAGACCCCGGCACCCGGAGCCCCCGGACCCGAGCGCCGCCTCCGCGGGCCGGCGGCCGCCCGCGCGCCGTCCCCGCCCCCCAGCGCGCGCCGGGCCGCGCCCTTCACCTCCTCTTCCTCGACGGGCGGCGCGGAGCGGCCTGAGGGCGGCGCTTTCTGCTGCCCGTCCTGGCCGGGAAGGGGGAATTGTGAAGGGGCGGCCCGCGGCCATGGAGACAGAGCCCGGCGCCCCTTGTAGCCCCGCCACGCCGTCATGGCGCCCCCGCGGCCCCCTCGCCGACGCCCCGCGGCTCCCGGGCCGGGCCCGTCTTGGTGGTGGCTCCGGGGCCGCCAGTGACCACGGCCACTTCAGCCCCGGTCACCCTGGTGGCCCCCGGGGAGGCGCGGCCCACCTGGTTACCGGGGCCCACCCAGACCTCGGCCCCGGCTTCAGCCCCGACCCCGGCTTCAGCTCCGGCCCCGGCCCTGGCGCCGGCTTCAGCCCCGGTCCCCGCTTCGGCCCCGGCCCCGGCTTCAGCCCCGGTCTCGGCTTCAGCCCCGGTCTCGGCTTCAGCTCCGGTCCCGGCTTCAGCTCCGGTCCCGGCTTCAGCTCCGGTCCCGGATTCAGCCCCGGCCTCAGCCCCGGTCCCGGCTTCAGCCCCAGCCCCGACGGTCACGGGCAGCACAGTGGTGATGCTAACACTGGAGGCCTCACCCGAAGCGCAGGTCTCCTCCGGCCCGGAGGTCCTGGTGCCCGCGGCAGTAATCGGAGACCAGACGTCAATGGCTCACGCCCTAGGGGCAGACTCTCCAAAGACGGAGGAGACTAGAACCTCACCCGCCTCTGGACCAGGAACCTCCACCAGAACCTCGTCCAGAACGGCTCCTGGAGCCCTGACCGCCAAACCCCCGCTTGCCCCCAAGCCGGGAACCACAGCGGCCTCAGGAGTGACTGCACGGATTGCAGCAGTGACAGCAGGACAGGTGACAAGTGGACATGGAGCAGCAACATCAGCATCAACAGGACCGGTTCCAGAGGACCCCTCCGGGTCCGGCACAGGGCCTTCAGGGACTAGTGAGGCTCTGGTCGCGGTTGTGATGGTGACCCCTGCTCCAGAGCCTGCAGGAAACTCTCAGGATCTAGGCTCCATGTCCAGCCTGGGACCTGGCATCTCTGGGCCCCGAGGGCAGGCCCCGGACACTATGAGCTGCTTGGACTCCGTGAGCCTCATGTCTGGGACCTTGGAGTCCTTGGATGATGGGAGCTCCGTGGGCTCAGACTCGGAGATAAATGGGCTGGCCCTGCGGAAGACGGACAAGTATGGCTTCCTTGGGGGCAGCCAGTATTCGGGCAGCCTGTGAGTACCCAGTGGGACTGCTTCAGTGAAGCAGGTTTTGGGGGTGGAGGGAGAAGAAGTAGCTTGCTCAGACCCTGGCAGCCCAGCCTCCTCTGAGGATCCAGGGTGATTCGTGGGTGTGGGATACCTGGCGATTCCTGTCATGCCCTAGCCTAGAGCATCCTCATCCAGAAGTTCTGCACATGTTTGTGAGTTTCAGAGCAGGTGTCAGGAGTTCTGGGCTTGAGCCTAAGCTTTGCCTTTGGTGGGTTGTGTGCCCTTGAGCCGGTGTCTTCCCCATTTCCATGCTCAGTTTATGAAATGAAAGGCTGAATGAGATGATATCTAAGATCATCCCAGCTCCTTTATATGAGGCTCTAGCTTTGAGCCAGATATTCTACAGTGTTGGCTGGGCAGGGGTTCTGGTAGAGATCTCTGGTCCCCTCGTGGGAGAGTCTGTGAGTGAAGCAGCCGTCGCACCTTCCTCATAACCCTAGGTCTGATGGGGTGGGGAGGTGGAGAAATCTGGTTGATGGAGGGAGACTCTGAAAACAGGGCCCCTCTGCGGATCAGAGGACAGTCTTGTGTTTTCACTGAGGGAAAGGGGGTGGGGAAGGGCTCTTCCCCATTTTCTCATCTCCCCAGCCCAGCTTACTCTTTCCTAGTTCCCTCCAGGGGCCTGAGTCACTCCTGAGGGGGGGTGTGATCACCTCTGACTTCTTCCTTCTCTCTCTTTGGATCCTGCACATTGTTCCTCTACCCCAGTAACCTGCTGGTCAGTTCAGCATCACCTGAGTACCCAGGTGGCCGGCCCTGTGCAGGATATTAAGGATAAAACAGTCATTTCAAGTTGCTCATCATTTAGAGGGAGAAATATACCTAAATACTTGGTTTCAATGTATGTTAGGTTTCACTTAGAGATGATCACAGGATTTTGTGAGCACCTGGGGAAGGGATGTTTTGCCCAGTCTGGGAATCCTGCTGAAGCTAATCCGAATCTTAAAGAATATGTAGGATTTAATCATGGCTGGGCCTGTTGGGGTTGGTGGAGGACCTGCCTGGTGGTGAGAGAATATTCTAGTCAGGGATTATTAACCACCAAAAAAATAAAAAAAATAAAAATCAGAAAACCTTTGCGCACCAACATTCTTGGTCCTCTAAGGGAAAGGCAACTGAAATTTGACCCTGATGCTTTCCCATGCTTGAGGGATGTGTTGTACCCAATTTACAAATGAAGAAGCAATTGAATGAATTGCTCTACTCAATCTGGTTCTCTGTGACCAATGGTTCTCCTAAATACCATGTTATCCTAAGGAACTCTTGGATTGAATTGGATTTTAGTGAGCCCCACTTGTATGCCAGGCACTGTGCTGAATGCTGTTTCTCTGCTTTATAGTTTTGTCCCTCTAAAATCCATCTTCTGTGCTGGAGGAATCTACTGAGGCACAAGGCTGACTGGGCCATATGTACCTTAAAAACTTTTAGTGGCTCCCCACTGGCCAGAGGTTAAAGTCCAAGTGCTTTAGCCTGCGCACAGGCTCCTTATTATCTGGCCCTGCCAGCCCCTCCGGTCTGCTCTCCTGCCGCTCCTCACCGTGCACTTCGTGCTGTGCTCCTGTTGGACTGATTCATACTCAGGCCAGGGATACCTTTCTCCCCCTTTTCCCGCTAAGTTCTACCCAGTCTTTTGTGGCTTACCTCACAGGTCCCCTTCTCCAGGAAGCCTTTCCTGATAGCCACTCCCCTACTTCAGTTAGATGCCTCTTCTGTGCATTTTTAATTTTTTTGTTTTTTTCTTTTTGTTAATCCTCACCGGAGGATATTTTTCCATTGATTTTTAGAGAGAGTGGAAGGGAGAGGGACACAGAGAAACATTGATGTAAGAGAGACACATCAATTGATTGCCTCTCGCACACACCCTAACCAGGGCCAGGGATCGAGCTTGCAACTGAGGTACGTGCTCTGGACTGGAATCAAACCAGGAATTCTTCAGTCCGTAGGCCGACACTCTATCCACTGAGCAAAACCTGCTAGGGCTTATTTTTATTATTTTTAAAAAATATATTTTTTATTGAATTCAGAGAGGAAGAGGGAGGGAGAGAGAGATAGAAACATCAGTGATGAGCCTGGCCAGCGTGGCTCAGCGTTTGAGGGTCGACCTATGAACCAGGAGGTCACGGTTTGATTCCCAGTCAGAGCACATGCCTGGGTTGTGGACTCGATCCCCAGAGTGGGGCATGCAAGAGGCAGCCAATCACGATTCCCTGTCATCATTGATGTTTCTATCTCTCTCTCCTTCTCCCTTCCTCTCTGAAATCAATAAAAATATATTAAAATAAAAACAAAAAAGAAACATCAATGCTGAGAGAGAATCATTGATTGGCTGCCTCCTGCACGCCCCACAGGGGGGATCAAGCCCACAACCCGGGCATGTGCCCTGGGGACCTCCTGGTTCATAGGTTGCCGCTCAACCACTGAGCCACACTGGCCAGGCTCTTCTGTGCATTTTTAAAAACATATTTATTTTTTAAATTAATTTCAGAGAGGAAGGGAGAGAGAAATAGAACCATCAATGATGAGAGAATCATTGATCGACTGCCTCCTGCAAGCCCCAAATTGGGGATTGAGCCAGAAATCTGGGCATGTGCCCTGACCGGGAGTCGAACCGTGACCTGGTTCATAGGTTGACGCTCAATCACTGAGCCATGCTGGCTGGGTGAGCCCTCTCTTTTAATAGTCCTTTATATACAGTTTCTCAATAGACTTCTCATCTCTTTGTGTTTTTCTCTTGTTATTTTAAAATATATTTTTATTGATTTCAGAGAGGTAGGGAGAGAGAGATAGAAACATCAATGATGAGAGAGAATCACTGATTGGCTGCCTCCTGCATGCCCCGCACTGGGGATCGAGCTTGCAACCCAGGTATGTGCCCTTGACTGGAATCAAACCTGGGACCCTTCAGTCCACAGGCTGATGCTCTATCCACTGAGCCAAACGAGCTGGGGCTCCCATAACTTTGTGATGTAGGTTGTGACATCCCTGTTTTACAGATGAGGAAGAGACTCAGGTTATCACTTACCAAGACACCCCGACTTCTAAGGACAGAAATGGGATTTGAGCTCAGGTCTGTCTGGAAACCCCAAGCTCTTTCTTCCATTCCACTCACCTCCTGGTATTGACTCCTAAAAGTAATTATTTCAAGACTGATGGGGACCTTGGCTGGGTAGTTCACTCAGTTAGAGCATCGTCTCTATATGCCAAGGTTGCGGGTTTGATCCCCAATCAGGGCACATACAAGAATCAACCGATGAATGCATAAATAAGTGGAACAACAAATTGAAGTTTCTCTCTCTCTTGTTCTCTTTCTCTCTGTCTCAAGTCAACAAAAATATTTTTTAAAGTCTATTAAAAAAAAAAGACTGATGGGGCATCTTGATGTGTAGCTCTGACAGACAGTGAGCAAACAGTGTAAGGAAAGCTTCATTTGCCTGGGAGTCGGGGGTGATTTCAGAGAGGAGGAGGTAAAGAGAATTGCAGGTGGCCCAAGGGAATCTCAAGAGTCTGATAGGAGGAAACTCAAGACAGTTGCTTCTAAGGAGACAGAGAAGTATATTCTATATTTTATTTTATGGATAATAATTGTTATTATCTCCTGCACCCCTATATGTATTGTCTCATATAAACTGTCAGGTAGATATTGTCTTTCTCTACATCTTATACATGAGGAAATTGAGGCTTAGAGGAATTAAGTGACTTACCCAGGATTATACAATAAATAAGTGTTAAAAGCTAGAACTTGAATTTAGGTCTAATGCAAACTATGGTTTTACCTATTCTGTACTCTTTCCCCAAACTTATATACATCAGAAGTAGGATTTAAACACACGTCTGTATAGAAATCCAACATGAGAACACAATCTCTGTGCAGAGATTCCTTCCAAAGGGAAGACGTCCTTTCAGTTTGGTTAACTAGGGCCTTGGATAGTTAATGGCCAGACATCTGATGTTTGGCAGCTCAAAAAATGTTTTTATGTCCAGTCTCTCATTTGAGCCTGGAGGTGGCTTGCCTCAGTTCCCTCAGCAATCCAGGTATTACACTACTGCTACTGACCCTTTCCCTGCTCCCCCATCCTGCAGAGAGAGCTCCATTCCCGTGGATGTGGCTCGGCAGCGGGAGCTCAAGTGGCTGGAGATGTTCAGTAACTGGGATAAGTGGCTGTCACGACGTTTCCAGAAGGTTTGAGAAGGCTACGTGGTGGGCAGGGCAGTGCACAAGGGGCAGGGGCAGGGTGGGCCCCGGTGCTCTGGGGAAGCCCAGGAACATGGTAGTATCTGCTCTATGGACCGTGCTGGGGAGAAGTGGGACTTGGGCCTGGGGGAAGGAGTAACTTTAAGCCAGGCAAGGTCTAGTG